GCCCCTCTGCGGCGGCGGCGTTGGTCTCGGTGACGACGGAGGAGACGACTACGTCTACGAAGAGCAGCACATCAGCCGCGACGCGAGGCACGAGGTCCGCGTGCGGAGGACGGGCCGCATTCGCGGGAACACTACGAGCACCACCGCCACCACCACCACCACCCGGACATCACAGCGGCAGCGGCAGTCCGAGGAGTCTCACACCCGGGGGAACGGTGTTGGATGCACAGGTGGAGACTTTGACGACTTTGACGGGGACTTTATGAACCTCATCCACCCCCGACAGAGGCGCCCGTCAACCTCGCACGAGATCACCCCCCGCACCAGCGTCAGCGTCAGCATCGGCGGCGGCGGCAGGGCGGTCCGGGGAAGCAGGCACCAGGCGGTGATGATGCAGCCGCTCATCACGCGCGGGGGGCTGGATGCCATGGAGCCGCTGATTCGGGAGCTGCAGGTTGCTTCGCGGGTGAGTCTGGAGGCGGCGCGGACTGATTCCAGGACGGAGACGCCGTTGCCGGATACGGAGTATTACTATAGTTTGATTTAGGGGAGGAGGTTGACTTTGGACCTCACATTCTACTTTTTTTCCTATTTCCATCTTTTCTCCTTTTTCTTTGGCTCGGATGTAGGAATTGGCCGGCTTCCCGCCTTCATGAACTGAAAGGTGTAAGCCATTGTAGCCAAGGTATTTGATGATGACCCATTTCCTTTGTCTGGATGGCAGGTGTGGTTTAAGGTGTTATCTTGTGGAACTTTGTGGATGAGGATTCTCAGGATCAGGATCTTAAAATCAGGGATGATGAGAAGTGAGTATACCCAGAGCTCACAACAACTTTTAGTTCAGTGTTATTTTCCTCTTTGTTTTTCTTTTCACGCCCATACCATGAGCGTCGGACGGACACCATCTGCGCTGCTGATGCAAGACGCGAGGAGACTCAAAAAAGATACCTATTTTGCTTTCTCAAATTGCCTGATCATCCCATAAGTGATATGCACTGTGACAATACGAAAACTACAATTCAAGCTAGCCTCGTCCATGAAGAACGCCCAACATCTGAGCTACCATGTGCCATGTAGATCGATGAGATGGAGATCGAAAGCCCCCAGATCTCTCAGGCGTATCGTCAAAAAGGTCTCCAACCAATGACGTCGTCGTCGGATGGGGTGCGGGACCCTTGCAGTAGCTCGTTTCCGGAAGGGGTTGATCTTCAACTATTTCTGGCGGGGGCTAGCGTTTCTCCCTATTAGTGTACGCAGCAGAGCAACAAAAGTCATGATGTCTTTGACCTAGATTCTTTGTGGAGCTGGGAAACTCAATTCGAGGCTGAAGCTGGATGTTTGGTTTGTCTTGGATGACATGCAGCTAACTATTTACTCAAGCTACCTAGCTTACTCAAGTTTTATCATTTGTAGCTCCCATTCTCCCCCCCGTGTAGTGGTTGTCGATTGAAACTCGTGACAGACTTTCACTTCCATCGTGTCTTACACGCGATACATCCACCATCCTCACTCAACTGAAGCCATACACAAAACACATCCACCAACCACCCATCTGCTCTCCCAAACACCAAAAAACATAACAATACCCACAAACCACAATGTCCCGCCCCTGGATCCTCGTCGCCCCAGCCTCCCGCGGCATAGGCGCCCACCTAACCCGTCACCTCCTCCGCACAACCACCGCCCCGATCCTCGCAACATGCCGCTCCCCCGACACGACCGCCGTAAAGCAATCCATCCTCTCCTCCCTATCATCATCTTCCTCCTCTTCCTCCTCCTCTGAAAAGAAACAATCCCACTCCTCCCCAGCCGCAAAGGAAACAGAAGACCTCGCCTCCCGCCTCAAAGTGATCACCCTCGACGTCACCTCGGAGCCCACAATCGCCGCCGCCGCCGCCGAAGCGGCCTCCCTCTTCCCGACCTCCACGCACCACCTCCGCCTCGCGCTCGCTACGCCGGGGATCCTGCACCCGGAAAAGAGCCCCGCCCAGATCGACTACGACGACGCCCTGGAGACGTTCCGGGTGAATACCCTGGGGCAGATGATGCTCATGAAGCACTTCTCCCCGTTCCTCCCCAAAAAGTCCGTCAAGTTTTCGACATCCACTTCTTCTTCTTCTTCACCGGAACATGACGAAGCGAGAGGCCTACCCCCATCCCACGCCGTCTGGGCCGCCATGTCCGCGCGCGTGGGCTCCACGGCGGATAACCGCAAGGGCGGGTGGTACAGCTACCGCGCCTCCAAGGCCGGCGTCACCTCGCTCGCCAAATCGCTCGACCTGTGGCTGGCCGCGCGCAGCGGCGAGAGGGCCATGGCCGTGGCGTATCACCCGGGGACGGTCAAGACGGGGCTGTCGCAAGGGTTCTGGGATACCGTGCCCGAGGGGAAGCTGTTTGAGCCCGAGTACGCGGTGGAGAGGATGTGTAAGGTGCTGACGGAGGAGGTTGGGATCGAGGGGAGAGGGAGGTTTTGGGATTGGGCGGGCAAGGAGATTTTGCCGTAAAGAAAGAGGGGGGGGGTGTATGAACGATGTTTGTATGAAAAGAGGGAGGAATTTGGAGTCTAGGCGTAGATGAGTAGGAAAGGAGCTCCCAAAATGGGAGTGAGAATCACCCGAGATCTCAAAGGGGAGACACAGGCAGCTTTAGCATCGTCATCATTCCATGATAACTGATTCTATAAAAGTCGTGAAGAAACGGCTAGTTGTACACGAGACACGACAACATCTCTGGGTAACTCCGTGCTGTGAAAGAACATTCTCCGAATCACCTCCCATCGCCTCAACCCACAACCACAACCGCAACCATGATCCCCCGCCTTACAAGGCTACATCCTGGAAAGATGCCCCGTCAGGAGAGACGCCCGGCTTCTCCTCCTTTGTCGGATTGTCCTCGTCTCCCTTGCCGTCCTCACTGTCGTCGTCCGACTCCCCCTTTGGCCGGTGCGCGAGGTTCTGCTCGTCCTTGTCCTCCAGCCGCACCTTTTGCTCCTCTTGGTCCACGATCCGCTTCTGCTCCGCCTCCTTCTCTTCGTCCCCGGAAGCCGGCTCTTCCTCCGCCTTGCTGAGGGGGTTCTCGGCTTCGGGCGACTTGGCGGCCGCCGCGTCGCCGTTGCCCTCGGGCGTGCTAGCGGCCGGGGGTGTCGGCAACTCCTTCTGCGTCGGTGGTGTCTGCTGCGGCTGAGGTGTCTGCTGGAGTTCGTCGCTCGAGGGTCCGGGTCTGAGTGCGTCGAGGTAGAACTTCGTCACGCCCAGGATGCGTCCGTTCTTCTCGCAAGCCTCAACCCACTCGGGGCGCACGACGGGAATGTTGGTCTCGACAGCCTTCTCCCACGCCAGGCCGCGGCCCTCGGTGGTGACAAAATGCGTCGTGTCGATGCGGACGCTGTCGACAATCTTGGCGCCGATGCGGTCGACCGCCGCGGACAGCGCCTCTCTAGTGGCAGGGGGCATGATGCCCGTGGTGATGGTGATGCCGCTGAGGTCCGTCATCTTATGGGTGCGCACAGTGACCTTTTCGGAGCTGAGGGTGCCGGCGGTGGTACGCAGGACGAGGTGGAAGGTGTAGTCTGTGTCGACGGCAAGACCGCTAATCTTTGTGCTATGCATTTGCAGAGGCCGGGGAATGTTGCCAGCCTTTTGGCCGTTTCGGTGGAGGGAGAGGGAGAGGATATCGGCAGTGGCGAGCTCGATGGGGTCCCATTCGAGGACAACAGAGGTCTGGGTTGCGTTGCGGCAGCGCAGGACGGGTGTCGTGGGCGAGCTGGCGCCAAAGGACGAGTAGATGCGGTCCTGGAGCTCGCGGAAGGCATGTTCGGTCTTGGCCTCTGAGCCTAGGTTGCGGGCAACGGTGATGTCGACGATGCTGCCGGAGGAGATGTTGGGAGGGAGTAGGATAGACGGGAACTCGATCTGGGCGCTTGGAATTAGTACAGGGTCTCGTGAGTAGGCGACGATGACATTGATGAGCGGAAATGGAGGGTAGGGCGGGGGATAGGGCGCCGGGCCTTTGGACCATATAGCTTCCCTCGAAAACAGCCCGCAGTTCATCGCCAAAATTGCAGAGTGCATTGGGTATAACGTACCAGACGCTTATCCGGCGTCAAAAGCACCGTGACGCCGGCGTCGACCTTGCCGACGGTCAATGAGACGAGCATCGTGAACTGTGTCTGCTGGTGTTGAGGCTTCGTCCCAGTTTTCGAAGCGTGGTACGTGATTGCAAGGTTGTTGGTGTTTCCCGTCTCCGGCCAAGGGGGCAAGGTGGGATCAATTGCGCAGGGTCGGTCGCCGATTCCGTAGGCCTTTCGTCTCGATTCCAAGGGCGGGTTATCGTGATGAGTTCGGTATGGAGGTGGCCAGGTGGGTGAGCAGGAGATTGTTGCCAGCGATGCTTGTGTATGCGAGACACATATGCTGGATCGAGAGAGGTACAAACGCCAGTCACAGTTAATTACCAGGTTGGCAGCTCCAGACGTCTCGGCTGGCAGCTCTGCGCTAGCGATGTGATTCGTCGCCAACAACTCTGCAACTGCCCTTCACACCGTGGACGGGGCAGTAAGGAGTTGAGGTGGCTGGGTACGTACCTGCCCCGTGCTTCACCTCAGTTCTCATTCCAAATGTAAGTCTTTAATAACGGTTGATTGATTTCGTCTTATTGTTCGCTAGATATTATGATGGGACGTTTTGTAGACCGTTGTCACTTCTGACGTATATGCTTAGACTGCATTGGGGTTTCTGACGTCCACTTTGTCTCCCAAGTTGTGTTGTGTGGTGTCAAGACCGCCGCCAGTTGCTCACGAGATATCAGTAACATAGGCAATGGACGTATGCTTCCCTGTCTGTAAAGGAGAAAAACAAAAATAATGGTTTCTATCTTAGGGGTATCATTTGTAGGGATTATGTTACACAGACGACAGCCGAAGCCGTCATCATGAAGGTTGCCCATGCCATCTCTCAATAATGGGACCATATCCATCTCTCCGCCATCTCCAAGATTCCTCATCACGCCCAGAGCTGGCCCGAATCCAGAGGCCTTTCTTCTTCTCTCCGGCGCTTCTCTTCGGCGACCTTGAGCCTCCGCTCCTCCCGCCTGCGTTTCTTCTCCTCAATGATTCGCGATCGCTCCTCCTCCTGTTTCAGTCTCCTCTCCCGCCACACCGACTCCTTCTGAAACTCCTTCTCAAGCCACTCATCTTCTCGCCGCTTCGTTTCTGCTTCTGCCTCCTCTCTCCGACGTTTGGCTTCCTCCTCCCGTTCAATCTCTTCGCGTGCTCTCTCCTCCAGTTTCCTGTCGTACTCGCGTTGCCACCGTTCCGGGTTCTGCTCGGCGTCCTTGAGTTCAATCAGGCGGTCCACGGCCACGTCCATCGCCGCCCGCAAATCGGCGCGGGAAAGCCTCTTCACCACGTCGGCGGGGAGCCTGGCAGTGAGCGCTATCGTGCCTATCAGGTTGCCCTCTAAGGAAGTGTCCTTCCCCGTGCGGTTCCTCTTGGGCCTGAGCAGACGTCCCTCGGGATCGTAGCCTCTGGCTTCTAGGGCGGCGTGGAGCTGGCGCCTCATGGTCCTCCGGGCAGTATTCACGACAACCGGAACCCCGTTCTGGGTAACCCCGTACAGCCAAACCCAGAGCGGCGTGTTCTCCTTCATCTGCTCGTACTTGTGCCTGTACAGGACCGTGTAGGGATGCTCGTTCATCGTCTCGACGAAATACTCTCTGTCCCAATTTCTCATGACATGCCGTGGAGATATTTGTATCTTCATCTGCTCAGACAATTTTTTCAGTTCGCCGGGCAGATGGACCATTCGGTAGTCCAAGGCGGCCAGCCCGATGTCCAGGTCGAGGAATATTCTTTTGAAGTGATGTTCCACTGGTAGGTTCTTGAAGTTGACCGGATGCGGGGGTGGCTTGGTTTTTCGAACTGACGGGAGCTTCGAAGCGTCTTCCTGGGAGGCTTTCGAGTCTTCGCCACGAAGCCTCCGTTTGATCTTCTCCAACTTCTCCTGGCGCTCTCTGTTACGTTCTGATGCCCAATAATCCCTGCTTTCTCTTTCTTGGCGACGCCTTTCATCTGTCCATCTTTGCTTCATGGCGGAAACGCGGAGTCGTGGGTTGGAGGAAGAGAACCAGGAGGCTTGTGTCGCTATGGGTATACCAAGAGGCAGTCTTCGCATCGTGCTGGTGACATGTTGAAGTCGTATCGGCATCATCGCATGGTCGTCGCCGGGGGCGGTCCTCGGGCACTCATAACTCGGAAGTAAGCTCCGCCGGTGGTATTGAATGATAGAGTCGATAGGTCAGGTCAATTTCATAGAGGCCGGTCTCTAGATTTCAAACGGCGACGAGGCGCGAATTTGCGATCTGCAATTTGCAGGCAAGCTACGGCTCTCGAAGAAGTGATGCAGGCGAAGCTCTCCCAAAATGGCTTAGGTAAGTCGAGGAAAGCTTAGACTACCTTATACTGCGTAATGAAGTGGATCGTTGGTGCCACAATTGGCATGTCGGCTGTGGCTCATGCGAATTCAATGGACTGATAGAGATTGGTAGATGACACACACACGCCACAGTGACGCCCAAGTGAATGCGAGCCACAGCGCGCACCTTTCTCCATTTGGTGACAGTGACCAACTCACATACTGCGTAAAGATGCCACCCCACTTGACTCGAGTCTATATATAAACTAATAATAACCCCCCCTAGTTAAGGTAGGAGTCCCGTGTATAGTAGTAGGTACTTAGTTATTAGTGGATCCCGGCTAAATTTAACTAATCGGACTTCGTTAATTTTTTTTTTAGGGTATTCGGGCTAGAAATATTTTAGAAATATTTTAGAAATAAATTATAGCTAATTAGGGTACTACTACTTAATTATAGTCCGCTCTATAGAAAATAATTCTAACTTATACTTTTTTTCTATCTTAGCTAAGTCGCGTCCTTTTTTCTAAACTTCTACTCTTTATTACGACTTTTATTAGAAATTTTTATTACGAAACTTACTATCGTACTTAAAATTTATTAATAATTAATTAGAAATATTTCTAAATTAATTCTATAATACCTTCCCGCTACTACAATAGTAATAGCTTTAAGTCCTATATTAATAATAAGTAGGGCCAGTTTTAAAATCTCCCTATATTCGAGACTAACGGCATAAGTTTCGTCCCTATTATTATAATTAAATACGTAATTTATTTACTTATTTTTATAATAGTAAGGTTAAGTAATCCTATTACTAAGAGAACTCTATTATTATTATTTAGAGGTTAATAGCCTTTACCTTAATAGCTACTACTAGTCGTTTTTTAATATACTTAAGAAGTACCTCGAAGAGGGTTATTATATTAATTTTGCGATTTTTTATAAGGGATCCCTTTTTACTACTATTAACCTCGAGGTTATTTATAAGTTACTTCTTATTTTATATTAATATTTTTAGCTTTATTAATAGTCTTTTATAAAATACTACGCTAGAATAATATTATTTATAAAGGGCTAAGATATGCCCCTAAATACCCCCCGAAAGCCTAAGGCTATTATAAGCGATAAGGTATTATTTACTATCCTTTTTAAGGAGGACGGTATTATAAGTAAAAATATTTTCGAAATATTTTTAGTTTATAAGACTAACTATTTTTAGTAAGACGTTACCTAGATAAAGATAAATATTAAGCTCGGCCCCGAGAAGAGCTATAAGGTTTATATATCGTAAGACGCTATTAGCCGTAGTAAGTATAACTTATTCCTCAATTAACGCTCTTCTTAACCAGATTTTATAACCTACTCTCCCCCTAACGTATATAAGCTAACTTATTTAGTATTTCGTAAGTACCGTTACCCTAACCTCGCGCTAAACGAGGATATTTTTAGTAAATTACTCTATTAATGCCTATGTATCGTTATACTTAATATTAATTATTTTTAAAAATCTTTAAGACCCCTAAGTAAATAGGCCGGAATAATAAAGTAGTTAAGGGTAAGCCGGTCTAGCCTACCCCTACTAATAATTTTAATAACAATAAAATAGATTCTTAAATAAACCCCGCTACTTCTACTTAGATCTTTATTAAAAATATAAATAAGTAAAAAGTATAATTAAGGGTTAAGGGATAATAAGGAACAATTAGTCTAAGGAAGTCTATAAATAAAGAATTTATTAAAATAGAAGTTTTTTACTTACCTCTTTAAAATAGTACTATATAAATTAAGAATACCGTAGTATTATAAATAGATATTCGTAGTAAATATATAAATAGAAATTAAGGCTATAAATACTAAGTAAATAATATATTAATCGTAAATATTTCCTAAAAATTTCCTAAAAATTTCCTAAAAATTTCTTAAAAGTTTCTTAAAAATTTCCTAAATATTTCTTAAAAATTTCCTAAAAATTTCTTAAATATTTCCTAAATATTTCCTAAATATTTCCTAAGTATTTCCTAAATATTTCCTAAGTATTTCCTAAATATTTCCTAAGTATTTCCTAAATATTTCCTAAATATTTCCTTAATATGTCTTAAATA